TCACTTTTAATCCACAGCTCAGAGTCTGCCTTTAGGAGACAGAATTAATTGTGTCTTCCCAGTTGCTCCTTTACATTATTTGGCTCAAGTGGTAGTCAGTGAGGTGTTTCAGTTCACCCTGCCCTTTCCTAGACATCTTTTAATACAGAAGGTAAAATGACAACATCACACTTGATATTTAAACTTCAGTCCCAGTTGCTTCTAGCCATCCACAGATTCAGGGTAATGCCATAGTGTGATCCAATGGCTTGAAACTAAAAATACAGTTGATTTATTTAAGCCATAATTCTTTGTGCACATATAACTTTTTCAGAAAAGTAGATATGTCTCCAGAGAGAGCAAATGTCCAGACACACAGTCATTATGTTGATTTTGTTTAGCATCTCTTCAATGCCATTCTGGCCATGTGCTAATTCAGCTCATGGTAGGCATAACACTATGCTTACAAGAGTGAAAAGCAGCACACCTCGGAAGTTCTGTAATATACAGTCTGAGCCAATACTTGAATACTTTATTTATTAGATGTGTATTGTAATGAAATCTTGCTGAAAATTTTCAAAAGGCATGTTAGTGCCTTTAGAAATACATTTTAAAATAAGTAAAATATCTATGTACTGTAGAAACCTAAATAAAAATTCCATTTATATTAGGATTTAGGAATGTAACCTGTTTAGATACTTCAAAAAAAACCTAATGGGAACCTATGTAATTGCAACATTAAGCATATAAGGTTTTTTTTTCAATACCCAGTCTCTAATTATGTTCATCAAGAATAACATGCTGTTAAGAAAAATCAAAATTACAGCTTGTTATTACTTTCAAAACTATAAAATAATCTAAAAATGCAAATCCCTTGTGTAAACACAGTTATAACCATAAATCTTACTATCCTAACAAAGAGTCTGGCTCTTAATTCCATCTCAAATTTATCTTTAATCTTTTGTATAATTTCTCTAAGCAGTAGGCAGTACTACTCCCATGCTTTTCCCCTATCCTTCTTTGCTTTTCTTATCAACTTGAGAAGCTTTTCAAGGCAAGGTCTGTCTATGTGTTCCTACATGATTTCCCAGAATGTTATGTGGGCATATCTGCCCTATTAACGACAAAATACTTGACATCAGCTTCTTAACAGTAACTAGATTAGAGTGGGTCATTATTCACACAGGTAAAACACTACATACCTTCAGAAAGAATGGTGTCGTACCCTAGCAGTTGTCACTGGGAGGTTCAGGAGATGTTTGAATTTCATATCTGTACTTCAATACAGAATGAAGCACCTACATTCATCTCCAGACAACACAGACAGTCATCACTGCCTGCTGTTGGCTTCTGGAAGGGAGGAGACACTTGGGCATGCCAGAGGTCATAGGAAACATAAGAGGCAAATCTGCTTTCAGATAAACTTGGAGATACAATAATTCAATGGGTAGCCTTAACTGCATTCAGAGTGTCATTACTCTGCCAACAAAGGAAGATGTAATATAAGGGTCTTCTACTGAAGTCATTTGCAGCTGCGTATGAAGTAAAATTTGTCTATGCTGAATTAATGCACAAATACGGACGGCCACACTAAGACGAAAAGAGAGAAGGTCCAGGCCCAATGTCCACTATCTACCCAAATATCCACACATGGTTTCTTCCTACAGATTCACAGTGTCTCATCCACTCACTGACCACTAATTTATTTTCACAGAAACAGAGAGTGATTAAGCCACTTGAAGTCAACCCTTCACCTACACCTGGTCACCTACAGCAGGTTGCCAGGTCTGACTAGCCTGATTTTTAGTATCTCCAGGGATGGAAAGTCCACATCCTTCTCTGAGCAACCTGTCCCATTGATCAGTTGCAATTATAGTAAAAAAAAAAAAAAAAAAGTCTTAAGTACAATTTCCAGTTTTTCACTTTCTGAGTATTTCCTCTCACCTTTTGCCCTTTCACAGGACATCACTGAAATAGCCAAATCTTCTTCACTTTTTCCCATCAGGTATTTATACACACTGATAAGATGCCTCCTGAACCTTCTAATCAGTCTAAACAATTCCTGAACTTGAGTTTTAAAATTCCAACTCCTGATCACCTTCAGTTACCTAAAGAAATGTGCTGGTGCAGAAACTGAAACAAACAAAGAAACAAAAAGCCTTTACAGTCTGAAATTCAAGCTTGAAATTTAAACCTGCTCTGGGATTTCTGACAAAAACGTGCACATTTGCAGTGCAGACACTCTTGTGTTAGAAGCTACATCTTCCAACAGTGAAAACAATCCTATATTGTGTCCCCTGAGTGCACTGATAAAGTGTACTGAGTTGATTACAGTTTAAAGGAATGCTGAAAGCAAAAAAGAAGAAAAAAATGGAAGGAAGATTTCCTTTAAAGGAGACACATTGCCAATTATTCTTGCTATACAAGGAAAGAAACAAAAGAAATCAAGCATGACTTAGTAGGAATGAGGAAGGAATACAGAGAAGATGCTGTAGCAGATGCAGTTCAATAAATTGAACTTCAAACAGTTATTAGAAGACCAAGAAGAAATACTGAATGTTCACGCAAAGAATATTTCAGCTGAAGACAAAACCTTCCAATTATGCAGAAACCATGCACAATTTAAAAAAAAAAAAAAAAAAAAGACAGATTAAAATTAATTATTGCAGATAGTTACAGGTCAATACAGCTGAGCAGACACCATAAAGCTGCCTGTCCTGTCCGGAAGAATTATTTATCTTTCTAATAGCATAAGCTAGATAGCACTTAGTACTGCAGAGACATAAAAAAGCATGCCAAGATTCCTTTTACCTCTTTGCCTTCTTCACAGATTTTTTAAAAATGTTGTAAATAAATTCTTCATAGGGCACCTGTTACTGGTGGTAAATGGCCCACCCACGTCACCTTCAAAGATGAGGAAACAATTGTTTACCTCTGATCTTTGAACTCCAGCTTCAAGACCAAAGGGTTACTTAGCAGTCTGAATAGCATGGCAGACTTTAGACTGCCTTCCTTCATTCTGAATTAGATACAAATAATTCTTTGAATTCTAAACTCCTGCTCCTGTAGGATGCAGTGAGGTTCACAACTTCCTCTCTTAGCATCACAACGTGCATTAATAAATGTATTAGTAGTGTCTGTATGCTAACTCTTGAAATACTAGTCTATTTCTAGCACAGCCAAGTCTTCCATAAAACTTAGGTGGTTTTGTTGGTTTTTTTTCTGTGTATTTACCAAGTCATTCTTTTGTACTAGACCAGACTTTGTGCTAACTCAATGCAAACTTCACTAGTCTTCTACTCTGGTGCATTTTGGTTACACTGCTGGTTGTGGATGGCACATTTTAGCACGGGATGCACTAGAAAGCCACTTGCATTGCTTCCATCAGAGATATACCACCAGTACGTGGTCTCTACAAAACCAGTAGGCCAAGTTGTCAGTAGACTCCCTCACCAACAGCCGATTCCAACAGTTGCTCTTGCCTCAGGACCTGCCTCCCCCCCCTCCCCCGTGGAGCTCCAGAACAAGGAAACCATCTGCTTCTCAAATAAAAGGAGCAGGTGCCTTCTCCAATTACATAAAACCTGAGTACAGAACAGATACCACAAGACACAAGAGACTTCTGCAGAAACAAGCAGACATAAATATTGAAGCTACTCCTCCTGTCTGAAACAGATCTACCCCAACAACTTGGTGCAACACGACCCTTTATAGATATAAGAAACTTTCAGAGTATTCCCATCTTCTCCTTTCCACTTTAATTTTAGGAAAGACTGCTTAGCAGTTCCATTCCAAGTCACCACTTGCAGTCTCATAATCTGAATCAACAGTACAGTTAGAATTTCATAAATCAGTCACCCACTTGAAGGTGATACAAGTTTTAAGCAAAATAGAAAATACTTGCTTCATTATGTAAAAACAAATCTTAATTTTAGGTTCTGCCTTATGTTCCCTTGTGATATGTTCCAATAGGCCTAAACAGAAATTATTATAGGAAAAAGGATCCAAACTTGGAGATTTCCATCCTGTGTTCCTTTAATCACCTTTGGTTTGTTTAAACAGCAGACTCAACAAAATAGGATGCTGAGGAATGATGCTCCCATGAGACTTAAAGTAGAATCACGAGAAGTTTCTGCTGAACAAAGCTCAAGAATAGAAATGCTACAGCTTTTAAGCTTTCTACTTTTAAACATTTAGTAGGTATACAGTCTTTAAAGTTTTATTTTGACTTTATCATTGTAAGGCAGTATTAAATATCCTGAGCAGATGACTACACGATGAAAGATTACTGCACACATAATGCTGTCTCAGCTTTGCCAGTGACAAAAAAAAAGCAAAACAATGCCCATTACACTTTTTCCCCAGTAGAAGGTAAAACAGTGCCACCCACTGCTTTTCCAGAGTAACCCCTTGCTTTTGAGACAGCTGCAGAAAGCTGAAGTTGGTACTTTGCAATTACAAAATAGCCAGCTCATGCTGAGCCTTCTTCCCCTCATTCCAACACTGGGTTCTTCTACCAGGTAACACATTTACAGTGATAACTTCAGTCACTAGTAAAGCTGTGTAAAGGAAAAAAAAAAAAGTGCTTTGAACTTGCTCTACTACAGCTGAAGGCTGAGGATAAGACAAAAGCTGAATCACATGAGTGGTTTTTTACCCTGGGATGAGTTTTTTTGACTATGCATTTCAGCTTTCCACAGCCACTATTAAGCAATTCACAGGTTCAAGCTGATGGTAATATTATATTGCATCAACTTATCTTGAGGGTCAGAATACCATTTTTTTTCATATCCTTCTATTTATTTTGCATCATCCCTTTAACACACAAGAAAGCAAGTATCACTTTTCACCTAGGTCACAGACCATTCTCTAAAATCAACATGCCTGCCCAGCAGTTTATCTTCTGTTCCTACATAGAGAATTTGTTTAATCCAAGGATCAGCAGAGTAATACTCAAGCACTGTCAAGACAGAAAGATCGCTTAAGGACTTTTTACTTGTTAAAAAGAAACCGGTACTCATATGCACATTTTATTAATCTAGACTATACTCTGCTGGTGGAGATAGTGGCAACTATAGTTCATTCCAACATAGCACAGTACCTGTCAAGTAAGACTCTACAACTACTTCATCTTTCATTAGCAAAATTCTCTGTAAACCAGTTTACAACAGAAAGCACGACTTCCCATTGCTCAGGCTGAAGAATGTGCATACAAGTATTTCAACAAGCCACGTATGATTCAGTAGTCTCTTTAAAAACAAACTATTTGACCCTTAACAAGAACCCTAGAACATTCTACAAAGGTCAGTGTACAGAACTATGTAAAAATTCTAGGCATGTTTAATTACCTCAAAACCAGATACACTTTGTTGATTAAGTAAATATTGCTAAACAGTCCTTACATCTTGTACCTTATGAATCAGAGATCCTAGTCATGGTCTGGGCTCAGCTGTGATCTACTAAAAGCAGCCATAAGACATCCAACTATTAGCAAGGAAAACATCAAGTTGTCTACAACTGAAATCAAGGTCCCAAGCTAAAGGGAAAACTGTAGACTCAAAATGCATTTTAGAGGTCTCTCTGTGGTTCCTGAGGTGAGAGCTTAAAAATGGGTATGCATGTTCACAACAGACTCTTTGGAAGCATGTTTGTGTTTATACTGCTGCTTGATAGGTGTCTAAGAATTTGCCTTGCTATGTAATTAAACTTCCAACCATTCACTTTTACATCTTTTACTTTTCACTTTCTATTCTGAGCTCATTTTCTCTTTAGGAAGAGTAAGCATTTAAGACAACTAACTTACTTTCAGGCACAAAATCAGAAATTTTTCACTGGTCCCAAATATCAAGACAGCAGTTACCTAGCAACATAATCAGATGGTCATGTGAATTCATCCTTTACTGTGATAGTTCAACATAGAGCTGCAGATCTGCTAAAAGAAAGTATTCACATGACTTTGAATCCATGCAATACACTTCTAACAGTAAATACACAGAAGACATTAAGGTATTTAAACATTTATTTTTCACTGTACAGTATCATACATTTAAAATAAAGAAATAAGGCCCAAGTATCATAAAAGATATATATAGTGTTTGCTAGACACATACTTGACTAAGAACAAGGCATATTCTAGGCCATACTTCATGGAGTTACAATGAAGTTCAGGCACGTAAACAGGAATACTTTATTGTTTAATGATTTATACCTCTTTTGGCCTGTTTAACAGAAAACGAACCAACTGAAGCAGAACTTCATCATTAAAGCCTTTCACACTACCATCTTCCACAACATCATACAATGGCTTACTGTCTGTACCCCAACAGATATTCTTCCGAGGGTTATTTTTAATAGTTTCTGCAGTTAATGCTAAAGTATTTAGCTGGTAACAAAAGAAAGCAAAGTATTTTCCATCAGTCACTACTGCCTGCGATACAAAAGGACGGGTCACATCTGCTTCATTCCAGAATCCTACAAAATAAAGGAACAACACTAGTTATACAGAATTCGAAATTCCTATCAGCACACACATCTGAAATACCGAAAAATACTGGGAATTGCAGCAGTCACCTAGTAGGGAAAAAGTCCCATCTCCTTTAGCAACAGAAGCATTCTTCATACAAACTAACTAAAACACAACCACCAATTAAGGATATTTCCAAGGTCAGGGACACAGTGGTCTTTTTGTATTTTGTACACAGTTCCCTATCACTGACTGATAAAAAGCCCATGCTAATCAGCCAACTGACTAAGTTACTAGTGCAACTAAGTCCTACAAGTGATCTGAAGGGAAATGCCTTTCAACTATTCCACGCTTCTCACAGGGTAGTGAACATTTGTTTCATGACAGAAGCATGCATATCTATGTTATGAGCATAATTGACTATAGTAACCAGTCAGACAATACCAAGAACACTACGTCAATAAGTATTAATGCTTCAAACCCCCACTGCACATCGTCCTTTTAAAATAATTTTCTTTACATAGTTATGTGTGTACACAGCATACACTAATATCCTTAGAGGATATTTGGTATTATGTGTAACAAACACCCCTAAAAACTGTTACAGAACAAAGAGAAAGCTTTTGAATCATGCTGTCTTTATAACTCATAATGTGCTTACAACTGTAACAAGATTTGAAGCCAAGACTTAATTGACTTCAGTGTTTCATGTCCACAAAAAAAGTCACACTTTCTAATATGCCATTATATTAAAAAATTGATGCAGAGCCAGCTATATACATCACAGTCAAAGGATTTTCTTCCATGTGTTTTTTCACAAGTGAAAACTACAAACCAGCAGGTATCTTCCAGTAACACTAGATAAATTATATTTACATGAATAAGCAAAAGACTGACCTGGTCAGTCTTAATCAAACATAGACATAAAATCCTAACATAAGGCTACTGACATTTTTCTTTCACTGACTGTAGTTTCCTACAATTGACATTTCTGAAACAAGGGGCTAAGCAACATAATTGTTTTGCAAATAACAAACTGCTTGATATTTACCACCATTCCCCGCAACCAGTGTGGAGTGAGCAAGTGAATGCAGGACTGAGGGGGTTGCACAGGTTTAGTGTTACATGTGACAAAAATATTTTTCTGTGTAATTAATTCTCTTGGAGTAGAAGTACTCAAAGAAAGTCTTAACTAACCCCCTGGTATAAGGTCTGCTTCATTCATTGGTTGAATTAAATTTTCAAATATCTACTTGAAGGATGGTCTTCTTATGAGAAAAAGGTTTTGGGGGAGAAAATATTAGAGAATTTCACAGTAGGCATTCATCAAGCTGACTTTCTCACCTTGATACATTGCTTGTGCTGCTGTCCAGGCAAACAGACTTGCAATACCATTAGCTCGATAAAGAACTTCAATCTGATCCTCAAGGTGTGCTTTTACAAACCTCTCCCGTTTTAGTTTATCAGGAATAAGATGAAACTGGGTGTGTCCGTAACAGCATGGATCTGCTACCTTTGATCCTGTGTTCCCCAAAAAGAAAAAAATTAAAGAGTCAGAAAATGCTCTTTATTATGCATACAAATACATTCTATCAGACTCCAAACAACAGAAGTTTAGAACCTCTGCTGCAGATCTATATAAATGTGGAGACACTTCCATTTCTGGATGAGACTGGAGGGCTCGCCCAGCTCCAAAAAGCAAGAGTTCACATACTAAAATGTCTCTGAGGAGATGTAAGAAATTTTAAAGCCAGTTTTCTGCCGATTTTCAATTCAACCCAACTCCTTCAAGCAAATCTTGACAGAGACTACCATATGCACAGGAGGATGCTTGTCCCCATTGCCTAACTGACATGAAATCTCAAGAGATTTAAATACCATATTTACATAATATAGTTATATATAAAAATACACAATTTGTTTTTCTTTTGATGGGAGGTAAAAGGTTGAGGTGGTAGTGTTTAGTTTGGGTTTTTTCCACAAAAAACCTAGTTAACATTCCATGACTAGAAACTCTTACCTATAAATACCTTGTTTTCATACTGCTTTTTGAACAATGGCAGTTTGGATGGTTTGTGATTAATAACGGGAACATCTCCAAGATCTGACTCCAGTGGGACAATCTTGAAAGAAGGAGAAGGAAAAGACATAAGTCATGTTTCTGACATCAGGCCTCACATAATATGCCACTTTCTGTCAGGTAGCAGAAGGTTTAAGTCTTGCTTACATACGCCATGTATATAACTTAAATTAATCTTTTACAGCAGAACTTCTTGTCTTGTGATGAGTGCTAGCTAGTACACACATACTGATGTCTTAATTTTCATTACAAAAACATTGTGTGAAATGGTACTAACAAAGCTGCCAATTGGTACTATCTTCAAAACGAGAATCCACTTCTGTAGAAGAGGCGCAAAAACAGTTCTAGCAGCGGTGAATAAAGTAACTTGAACGAACAGAGTGAGTTTACAAGTATTCAGTGTTTTGCACTAAATAACATTTTAAATTGTCAAAACAGTTCTTCCAAAATGCAAAGGATTGTAACATCTGACAGTACTAACCTAAGCAAATTGTACAATTAAGTTAGCCAGAAAAGTTCAACATTTACAGAAACTGAAGTAGTCTTCTGTTTGTGGTAGAAACTGGGCAACAGAGACCTTCAAATGCTACACAATTACCAGCGTATAAGCATAAAAGGAAAAGATTAGAATACTGATTCAGCTTCCAGAAAAGCCAGCATTCAAAGGAATCAACTGTTAGGCAATACTAATAGGTAACAGTGCTCACATTCTGATTATACATGCTCTCTCTTACTCCACTCTTTTTTTCTCCATTTCTCCCACTTTATTCTCCTGCACTGAGGAATGTTCCACACCGTATTTCTTATAGTTGCCTCCACTTACAAGTTAAAACCTTTATTTAATTAAATGTAACAACATACAGTTTCTCTAAACACGAAGATGACAAAGGTTAAATTCAGAAGACTGTCTCAATATCTACAAAGCAGTTACCACAAGGCAGTGAAGGCATGAAGACTTGAAAAATGCACAAATATGCTACATGCCTGATTAACCAGGTCCTCCATATACTACCTATGGCATGGTTTCAGTGGCTGTCAGAAACGTAATTGAAAACGCATGCAATTAACTTGCTGATGAACATATCCACACCTCTGGAAGTTGCTTTGGTACGCGGATCTGGAGGTGCGGTTTATCATCTATCTGAAATCGCACAGGATCGACTCTACCCTTTCGATGCCCATGAACAACAATTTCCTCACCATGGTGCCAGTAATAGTTAACTTCAGGTTTTAGATCTGAAACAAAACAGAGGAATTGAGAGAAACAGAGATCTGCATTTTAAAACCCTCACAATTCTTGTTCTGCATCTGCTGTAAAATAGAAAAATCAAAATCCACTCGCAACATGTGGGACATTGGAGACAAGATGAACTACCAGTGGTGGTCTGAATAACTCAGCTACACCAGCGACACTCCTGTCGGCTGCACTGACCGGCCCCACCGCCCAAGGGCTCCCACTCCCCTCTCCCTCTCACCCCCTCCCCGTACCAAGGGAGGAGGCTGCCAGCAGCGGGTTGCGACCGGACAGGAAAGCGAAAAAAAAAAAAAAAAAAAAAAAAGAACACTTTTCTGTACAGAACCCCTATTAAAGGCAAAGGATTTTGTACAAACCACGAACTGTAGCAGAAATACAAGACAATTTATTGACAAAACGTGGAAATTGGAGCATGCATGCATGGCTCAGCCTGGGGCATGAGGAGTGCAAGTCAGCCTGACTGCATAAATCCTTGCTGCTCTGATCTCTTGTAGGAAAGACTTGTATTTACAGGATAGTGGGTACCCATAGCTCTGAGTGTAAGATGACAGCAGCTTGTCAGAAACTGCAAAGCCTATGAAGCTGTCTTTCATAAAGGAATTCAGCTCTGCTAAAATACATCTGTAAGCCTGTTTTTCCCTTGATTGATAACAGACACTGGCCAGATGTGTCCAAGGTAAAGATACTGAATCTCTTCCATTGTGATCACAGCCAGACATGTCACAAACTTACACAAACTGTTACAAAAAATCACCATTACTGTTCTTGGGCATTTTGCTGCTGCACCTCCTGTTTCAAAACTTGTTCTATTTGGTGGTTTGAAATATTCTTATTTTGTGCTTAAATGTATTCATGATCAATTTATACCTTCTTGTCATTGTGCCAAAATTTTTCTTTAGTTTAATTAACTTTTTTCCCTCTCCAGCCTTTGCCTTCTAAAATATTGATGTACAACAGTCATATCACCTCTCAATCCTCATTGACAGAGACTAAACTAGTTCTCACACAGATAGGTCTCCATTTCCCTGATCATCTTAACATCTTTCTTGCATTTCCTCCAGTTTTGCATTTTTCTCAGGGATATGTGACCAGACTGTACGCATTATTTCATACAAAGGATTGTATTACCTACACCAGGATTACTGACATTTTAACACTCTTAAAAACATTTTTTATTATGTTGTCAAAACAGAATTGCCTGCTTTGCAGCCATACAACACAATGAACAACTTTTGCGTAGGATATTTTAAACCCTCAAGAAACTCAATACAGAAACTGAATATAAGTGATGAAGTAAGTTTAAAGGACCATTTTATTCTCCCTACATTATGCAAAGGCTTATAGGTTTCTTACGCTCTGGTATTGACTATAATATTAGATAAGAGATGTCAGGAACTAGTGCTATGCTTTAACCTACACTTAAAATTCTTGAACTACCTATTGATGTTCTGGTCACAGGTCAATTTTATTTGCTTGGTGTGCATTGTAGCATCATTCATCTTGATGCAGGAGCCACAAGGGCTTGGATAAAAGGGCCCAATGGACAGCCTGGTTAAAAGTACCGGCATGCTTTTCTGACAGCTATGTCATTAGCTTTTAATAAAAATATATTATCCAACCATAGTTCTCACAGTTCAAAAAAGCAAACCAACAGTTCTAAAAAGACCTGTTTTCCTTCTTTACTGAGATAATCCACAATATCCCAACTATCCTAAGTCTATAAAGCCAGAGCATCTTTACTTTGGTTAAATGAATGCTTAAAAAGAGCCTGGATTAGAAAAATCATACCGTGCCTAACATGTTCAATGCAAATGCTAAAGCAAATGCCATAGCCTCAAAATAAATCTCTAGAATTGAACTAGAAAAAAACCCTTGCATCTCAGTTCCAGTGTGAATGTCATCGAGGAGAGTTAGTTTGAAGCCCAAAAGTACTTCAGAAACTAGTGCAGTTCAACTTATGAACCTACTCTATGGGGAGGAATGACATAGAAGTTATTATGTTTCTGAAACTCAGAAATAAGAGTAAATATATTAAATGTACTCAGAGATGAGATTGCATAGACATTAATTACCATGAAGGCTCAGTATCCCCTATATGCAAGTGCAGAAGCTGCTTAAGTGCACACACTTCTTCAGTAGCCTTCACTGGAAGTGCAGAAGCCCAAACAGGATCATAGGTATTGCATAATGGAGGCCTATCTTATCCAAGGCCCAGCTGGGGGTGTGAGGTGTGAGTCTGCTTCCCCTGGCCAGGGAGAGGTTGCTGTATGTCCCATGGGAGTCACTGCAAGATCTCCAGCCACTGCAAAAGGATTCAGCCCTCAGAGCTGCTGAACCATCTCTTCCATACCTGTGCCATGGTGCTGGCACTGTATATCTTCTCAGTGATCTGCATCTTATTTTAGAAGACAGAAAAAGGACATAACAGTGAGATTAAAGCCCTTCAAATTAAGAAACCTCTAGGAGCCACAAACTAGAGATGGGTTTTGTTGTAGGCTTAGTAACAAAAGATACAGCAGTTTGATTCTATAGTAGTGATGGCAGACCCCTGGCACATCTGAGGACATGCTAAGGATTGATGATGTCCTGTTCCAGTTCTCTTAGAAAGTTAGTCCAAAGGTACACAAGAAAACAGCTTAGAAGTCAGTTCTGGAAAGTTCATAGTCTCTAGAGCTGTTGAAAAACAAAGTTACTAATCTGTATCAGGTATTCCTCTTGTAATAGTATCTCAATATCTTGGAGAAAAACTTAAGCTCCATTGTATGAAACATCATGTCCTACACCTGCATAATAAATAAAGTGGTTCTTTTTGTCATGTACTTCTCAGTTTGTAAAGTTGTAGAAAGGACCAACACTCTACTCTTAGGTTAATGTCACAAGACAGATAACATGCCTTTCAATTTATTCTAACCAGTTCAGATTTATTTTAAAATTTCTTCAGAAGCTGCAGAATCAGCCAATGTCTCTCTTAATCTGGGTACAGATTTTGAATAGGGCATATTCTTCTTGGTGCTCATCTTGGAGGATGAGAACCAGACTTCAACTGAACAGGAATATGTCCAGTTTTAACCAGTTAAGGTTTAATTTCCTGCCTAGCCACATGTTTTGTTTGTGACTTAGGGCTAGGTCCACAAAAGAGCTTTAGTGAGGACTCTGCTTCGTGCTCTCATGCCTACCTAAAGTCTTACTAATAGTGGAACCCACCTTTTTATTGCTAAAGTTGATAGACTAACCCAAAAAGTATGGTGTATTTCAAAACTGGAAGGAATAGATCTCCCAAATCTTTTCACCCTCTTATTAGACCAGTTCTCTTTAGAAGACATTTTAAAAATTTAAAAGTTCATTATTTTTCAGATCAAGCACGGTATTGAATATTCTTTGGAGAAAAAGACAGTGTCATATTCATACTTACAATGTCTCTCTCAGACTGACTCAATGGCTAGAGAGAGTGTCAGCTTCTTCCCACCTGATTCAGATGAGATTTTTATGTTTAGAGATTTTTTGATTTATATACAATCTACAGCACTTGTCAGCTTAGGTAGCATCAGCAGAACTGTATGCTCCATGTAAATTTCTGCATACTGCAATAAACACAACTTTAACTGTTGAAAAGATGGTCATTATTTTTGATTTATGTCTTTAGCTCATTGTAAAACATTATATGTTACAACAACAGTTGTCAGATGATCATTTAAAGCAACTCATAGCATAGATACATGCAGTAGGGAAAACCCATTATCATCTTTACTAATTGAGATCTGTGGACAAAAACATGTTTCTTATAGGATTTCCAGATATCTTTATATCAGTGTAAAATGCTTATGACAGGCTGGATTATGCATCCTTCAAAATTAAAGTGCTTCTAGAACTACATAGCATTCCAAACAGCACCAGTTAGAATTAAGTTTGAATTATTTTCAACTGCTATTTTAACGCAGTTTCTCAGACAAATTCCTTTTTGGCTAAAATTGCCTGTGTTTGTCTATAGACCAAAGATCACACCCTCCCCACCACGACCCCCTGCCCCATTTAAAGAAAAATCAAAGCACCTTTGTTACGGGACTATGGGAATGGGGGGAAATTGTGTTTCAGACCAAAGATTCCCTTTAATTAGGAAAAAATGTTAAAAGAATTACCTTCAAAGTTGGACCACTTTGTACTTCTTATGTGAGAGCTGGGAGTACAGATTAATTTAATGAAAACCTCTCACATAATTTTAAAAAAGGAGCCTTCCAACGGGAAATTCAAAAGAGGCATAGCCACATTCTTCCTTCTGTGGCTTTAGATACCATTATAGCAGGGCAGCTGAGAATGGTGATGACATTTAAGACCACTCTGGCTTGATACTGCTGTAAAGATAAAAGCTTGTTTTGAAGACATGTTTTGACAAAGCTTAGTGTCACTGCATCATGCCCATTAGGTAAGAAAGTCAGAAATCCTTTGGGAAAACTAGATGTCTTAGTTTTTATATAGTATTTCAGTGCTAGTGTAGCAACTATGAAAGAATATCTCTCATAATCCCCGTGCATTTTGGGTAATATCTAACTAGTGGATATCCCATATGTGCCATTTCAGGCCATTGCATTCAATATTCCTAAGGTCTGTTTTGTATGTGCAGAAAATCCAGCTAATTTTGACCCCTAGTCCTTGGGATAACTGAGTGCTTAATAAAAGCTCTGGATTGGGAAATCAGTGAGTAAACTGAAAGAAACAGAAGTTGTTTGATTGGAGGAAATAATATACCGTCATTTTGAAAGGCAGATAGAGCTATTTGGATTCTGATGTGATTTCTAAGTGATGATTCAAAATTTGCAGTAAGAAAGAGACTTTGTCATTCTCACAATTGCAATGTTCAGCTGATGAAAGTGTACACTTTTATGAGAAAATTTGTGGAGTCAGCGACAGCATTCCAAAGATCACTCAAAGGGAAGACTGCTGAGTAGACTTGGCTCAGTATGAAGATGAAGGACTGGATGAGGAACACAAGTGTTGCAGAATAAAGCTAATGTATAGAAATACTTTATTATATGGTATTATTGAGATGCCAATTGTTTATGTTTGCTCTTAAAAGGTGTTATGAAGGTGGAATTTGAGGAACAATAGGCATTCCACTTGCATTCTCTTTTCTTCTGGTATCGAGGACACCAGACTTTTTTATGTGGTTTAAATGGAAAATTGGAAACCTAACTTCAAGTCCGATAATTAACCCATAGGCTTCTTTTGGCAAATGAGGGCTGGTGATCAAGTATTTCTCTGCTACTTTAAAAACACCCAGTCCACACATTTACTAAATCTGAGTAGCATGAGCTCTGATTTACCAAGTTAGACGCTTATTTTAGTCAGCCAAAATATATTTCTCACTCTCAAAAAGTGAAAAGTGTGAGTACGAAAAAAAACAGACATTCCGATACCCATCAAAACCTAAAGAAAACTACCTCCACAGACTCTAGTATATCCTCTATATTTCTCCAGCTTCACAAGTGAGCTGCTTCTCACCAGCAGGCAAAAATGTAGGCCTTGTATTGTATCCTGAAACTTCATTCCAGGCTATTACAAGCCTAAGGAAGTTGTGGATCTGAAGGATACAGTGTGCTAAATGAAGAGTATCCTGCCATCTGCATTGTATACCATTTCTGCCATCCTGAGAAGTACTTACAGAAGATAGCACAGCGTCGAAGGCATGGGGCTGCTCTTTGCAGACATTTAGCTGGTGTGGCATTGGGAAGTGTGCTGCTGCACTTGACATGGTAAATTCACACCCTGAACTTACTACTTCAAACCCAAGACTGTACAAAGAGAGAATTTCTGGACTGAGTATGATCATTCATTAGTCTGAATAGTTTGAGGCTTTAGAGCAGTATAGATGGTAATACAAAAAAAATTGCATCTTCTTCTAAACAGTAGAAGAGCCTTCATTGCTTAGATTCTCAAGTGCTAACCATGAAAAGTACTTAGACTGTCTTCCCTAACTGTGCAAAATTTTGGTATATAAAAGTCAGCTGATATTTATCCTTGGTGATTAAGTCTAGAGGATGACTGTAAGATAAATACATGACCTGACTAATGACTCACAACTGACTCACAGTCAAGTGATTGCTGAGATTGTATTTCTAAAAAGAAAAATAAGTACATATAATTACAGATATTTTTTTCTTTCTACATATCCTTAGAATGCTGATTCACTGATTTCTGAAATGACATCCTTTTAACATCACAGAAGCAGTCAGACTGAAGGAGACCTCCAGAGGACACCAGTCCAACCTCCTACTCAAGGCAGGACCAGTTAGATCAGGTTGCTCAGCACTGTGCCCAACCAAGGTTTAAATACCTCCAGGGATGTAGATTCCAGTGTTTCTGTGCGTCCCTGTTCCAGTGCTTGACCATCCTCATGGTAAAAACATATTTTTGTATATCATGTCAAAATTTCCCAAGTTCCATCTTGGGCCAGCCACCTCTCAGCCTTTTACCATGCTCCTCCTTAAAAAGTCTGTCTTCTCTAAGCTCTCCCATTAGGTACTGGGAGACAGCAATTAGATCTTGCCTGAACTTTCGCTTCTTCAAGCTGAAGAAGTCCTGGTCCCTCAGCCTCTCCTCACAGGGCAAGTGGTCCAGCCACTGAACATCCCTCCACAATCACCCTCCACTAAATTCAGTTTGTCAATATCCTTCTTTTTCTAAGGAGTCCAAAACTGGACACAGTACTCCAGATTCAGTCTCACAAATGCCAAATAAAAGGAAAGAATTACCTCTCTCAGCTTGGGGGCTGCCCTCCTGTTCGTACAGCCTGGGATACTGGTGACTTTTGCTGGGTGTTAGGGCACACTGTGGCTCATGCTGAATTTGTTGTACATCAAGACCCTCAGCACATTTTCTGCAAAGCTGTTCTACAACTCATTGGTCCTCTGCCTATACAGATATATGGGGGTTATTCTGTCCAAAATCTTTTCATTTGTCTTTGTTTGGCTTCAGGAGGTTTCTGTCAGCCCGTGTCTCCAGCCTCTCTAGTTGCAATTGCCTCAGTACAGTCATAGCCATAAAATTGCATGGACAACAAAACGTGCTATACTACATATCCCATATAATACCGAATCTACTTGGGAACCTGGTACTGGGCCAGCTAAAGGTGAAGACAAAGGAGGAGGGAGTCAGTGAATGCTGAAAATTTTTAGAAATTATCTTTGTTGCATTTTCAAGCTGCATCACAAACATAATAAACACTTACCACTGTTGTGTTTGGAGAGCATCTCACGTTAGAGTAACTGACTACATCTCTACTAGTAAAGCAGCTGGCATGGAACAGCCTACCTCTATACTATGAACTTGTCTTTTTTCTCAAACCAAGGGGCCCATACACACAGCATATTGGGAATGTCCCCTGCCCATGACCAGCAACTA